TATTGTCCTCCACAACACACTCCTGGTGTCTCCGAATGAGGCTTTGATGCAATATAATATTGCCAAACCGCATCCATAGGCCCAATCGTCACACGACAGCTCGGTTTAGTCAATGGCGCGATGTATGTAATTGCACACTTAAAAGGTTTACGCACGAGGCGAATGTTGGCTGGCGGGCGACCAACTTTGTTGAAAGCGATTACTTGAAAGTAGAATGCAAAGTTGAACAATGCAAACGCCTTTTTATGGCGAATATTTTTATATTTTTTTTATATTTTGATATTTTTAATCATTCAAATTTTTTTTCGGGCAACCCGGCGAATGGTTAATATTCTGACAGTTGTATAGTCTCCCCAGAATATTAAAAGTGCGACATCAAAGAATTCGAATTACCATATTCGAAACAATCGAGCCATATCCGCGAAGGAAACGTAAGCTCCAAATTTTTTTATTTGCCGTTTTTTTTTTGTTTAATAAATACTGCATATTTTCCACAAACAAATAGCTTCTTCATATCCATCATCTGTCAAACAAATACAACAAAAAAAAAGCTGAAAGTGGACCATCCATTCTCGAGTTATGCGCCATCTGACGTACGCGAGTTTGGTATATACATAGAAATATTTATTTTCAATAACAATCGGGCTTGTTTAAATTAAATAATTAAATCAAATTCGTTTTTGTTTTAAAATACCACCATTCACTATTATCCACACCTTTTTATGGAATTTAGCTCCCATTTTAGGAAGTGTGATTGAATTCTTCCCCTTTTTCCCCTGCTTCCATAAACCATCCCTGAGGGTGGGAGTGCCAAATTTTAGAAAAAAGCTACTTACAAAACCTTTAATAATTGAATCATGCATGTAGCCAAGGTTAATAATGCTTTCAATATTCAATTAAATTATAATTTTTTTCTCAGGGCTGTATATATGCCGTGGATAGACTTTCTTCACCAAATATTCTCTGTTCAAACCACTGTGCACCTGTGCTTAAATTTTATGCACGTTGCAACCCTGCAGAATACCCCCTCCCAAATACATCGTTTTTATCGATTGCTCTTTCCGCTGTCAACGTTGTTTCCTTTTTTGGCCCCTTTCGTTGCCACTTGACAAGTTCCGTCAGTCGTGTTGGTCGTTTGTCATCGGTTAGCGAAAAAGTGGTTTTATTTTGTGAAAATCCAATTTATTTGTTTAATTTTTAGTTTTCCCTGCACCTGTTTGTGTGTAAATTTGTTGAGATATCGTGTGAAGTTGTTAATAAGCGGCAAACTATAATAGAAACGCCACATTCCAGTAGAAAATAAGTGAAAAAAAGTCTGGCGAAGACATCACAAGGAAGAAAATGTAAATTGATGCGTTGTGAAAAAATAAGCGTAGAAAAGACGAAACAAGTTAAAAGAGTGGGCAAAGGAGCAGTAAACGTGAATTGTGTGTGCAAGCAAGGAAAACGTAAACGTCAAGAGAATCGCAAATAAAAAAAGGTTAAAATCGTGCATTTGGATAAAAGTGTAAATTAATTGAAATATCATGTAAGCATATTGCATAAAGAAGCAAAACAAAGGTATTAGACGCAACATGAACGAAAATGAACTATTTTAGCCAATTAGCTGTGCGGGCGGACACAAGGTGCATCCTATATTGGTGCAGCACACTTGGAGATTGTGCCCTGTCTGAGTGCATGGTATATATGCCGCCACCTGCTGGAAACTTTCTGTTAAAAGGGTTCATTAAGGCCTTTTGTTTATGCTCTTGCTGTCGGCCAATGTTTGTACACCTGAATGTACTATGTGCGCGAGCTGTAGGCGTTTTGGCCCTAAGCATTTTCCACTTGACCAATTTTTTCTTCTTGGCAATGGTCTCATCGCATGCGCTACTTTAATTGCGAGTTATCTACTTGGTTTATATTAAACATTAGTGGCATAAATACTCGCCATTTAACTATGTTATCAGTTCCCTGAAAGCTCTTATCAAGGCCTACCATATTAAATTTAAACTATTTTTTTGTTTAAAATATGTTCCCTCTAAATTTAATAAATCAGCGCCCGTTATTGTAGAGTTGGTGTAGAGGAGTGGTTAGAGGTGTGTACTTTAAGTACTTCCACTCCGTAGAACCCAAGATCGATTACTAATTTAAACAACATAAAATTGTTATTCTAAGAGCTTCCCTCCTCCGAGAGTATTTTGCCCTAAAAAGCTTCAAATAAAAACATTTGCTTTTTAGATGCGTTGTAAAATTGTAGGCCCATTTGCATGACAACACCAACGCGCCCAACACAAATTGGAACAGAAGAGTGGCCAACATACATACATATGTATGTAAATAAATGTGTTCCAAATAGATTAAGTACTAAATAATAGTTTTATGCATATTCACCTTACACATATGCAAATTCATTCCACCACGAAGTAAGTTTCTCGCTTAGTTTTGGCCGAGTTTGTCGTCATTAGTGTTGGCCAAGCCAGACAGAAAAAAACGCAAACAAATCGTTTTTTTGTGCACTTTTCTGTGTTTAGTGGACATTTGTATGCCATCATTCCTGTTTCCGTTCCTGTGTGGCTAAATGCCAGCAGGGGCCAATTGCAGCTGGCAGTTGGTAGTAGTTTGCAATAGTTACGTAGGTATGTAGGTATGTACATACATATGCACATACACTGGCGGCAGAAATACTAGAATAGTCGTACTTTTAAGAATTTTGGCTTATTTCTTTAATTTATTTTATGTTTAATGTTTTTTTATAAAAGCCTAGGTAGTTATACAACAAACATCATTTAAATCCGCTTTTCAAGCTTTATACGAAATACCGTTGATTTTTAAGATATTTTTTTTTGCTGACGATGTCACTATTTTTTCCCATACGAAGTGTGCTCCACAATTTTTTTTATATGCGGAGAATGCCTAGCATCGTCAAAAAAATAAAAAATAAAAAAATAGCCACTTGAAACATACACGTTATTATACTAAAATTGAATGGGCTACAAAACTGCATACCAAAAACTTTTCTAAAAATTCTGAAAAAAAGTTAAAAAATTTAGTGAAAATTTTTATTTATTTTTTTTAATTTTTGTATAAAGTTTGAAAAGAGGATTTATTAGTGTTTTTGTTTAACAAGCCAGGTTTTATAAAAAAATGTTAAACATAAAATAAACCATGGAATTACAGACAACACTTCAAAGTAAAGCGAGTCTATTATTTCTGCCGCCAGTGTGCATCCATGCATACTTCCCCCACTTCATTATTATAGTATATATCGTTACCCAAAGTGCGCCATGATCATCACCTTAATATAGAAAGGCCCTATCTTGCATTTTTGTTTCTTTACTTTATAAAAACTAAAGTTCTTCAATCGCATTTTTTTACATTTGTTTTTAAATACATAAACTAACATTTTGTTGTAGTAATTCGATTGAGCCTTTAGTGAGTAATCTACCTATTTTTGTACAGAGCTGAATTTTGTAAGAAAATGAGTTAGGGCCTTTTTATATTAAGCTAACTATATGCACATAACTACACCCAAGGCCAAAATAATAGAAACGCCTTTTTTGACTAAATTTGCCTTTATTTCTTTTAATTAAATTTAAATTTTAATTTTTTTTTAATGCAGCTAAATATAAAATCATATTTAAAACTTTGTGCAACAACTAAAAATTCTGCAAAGTTGCATCGAAATTCTCACGTTCTTAATCAGATTTGGCTATATTTCTTTATTTTATTGAATATTTATTTTTAACCGACTTCACAAAAAGGAGAAGGTTATCAATTTGTCGGAATATTTTTTTTTTATGTACACTGCCGGAACAAAGTATTGGCACAGCAAATTTTTCACTTTCAATTATTATAATATTTTTCCGCCAATTTTGTATAAAAATATGGTTCATTCAACAACAAAAACATAAAAGTAAAATTACTAAACTTTGTACAAAACTCGCGAAAATTCAGCAAATTTTCATGAAAATTTTCAACTTTTTATTCAGATTTTTTATAATATTTTTGAGTATGGAGTTTTGCAGCCCATTAAATTCTAGTAAAAAAATTGAAGTTCGGAGTTAGTCAAAAATCGCGTTGATTTTTGAGAATTTTTTTGTTGAAGGTGTTTTGCATTTTTCCATATAAAGTATTTTCGAAAAAAATTGTTTGTATGGAAGAGACTGCGTGAAAATCAACGGTAATTCCTTGCTACTTAAAACTTTCACTTTATCATAATAAGTTGAAAATTTTCATGAAAATTTGCTGAGTTTTCGGGAGTTTTGCAACAAGGTTTAGGAATTATATTTTTATGTTTTTTGCTGTAGAATGAACTATATTTTTATACGTAATTAGCGGAAAAATATTAGAGAATGGAAATTGTTGCATATATTGTGAAAAATTTTCTGTGCCAATACTTTGTTCCGGCAGTGTATGTTACCCTATAACTTTGGACCACGTTAACGGATTTCTTGAATTAAAGGAAATGTGCTATCCCACAGGTGGTCCCATACTAATTTGGTTTAAATCCGATCATGAAGAAATTAACGATAATCTTAAATTTTTATATGAGAATTGAAGTCGGTTTTGTTTTTTGCTTAAGAATTACTTTTTTTTTATAAAAAAGTGCAGTTCAGTATCTAACATTTCTAGCAATTGTTATCCTGAATTTTCTTCTATACAAATTATGCTCGACATCTTAATTATATGAAAAAAAAAATGTGTAATACAGTCCGAAAAAATTGAGGCCATGAGAGCAGAAGTGGCCTACCCCAACAATTTTTTTTTGTGTGCTTCCCTATTTAAAATACTCTCAAATAAGATACATTTTAAAATGGCAGTCGCTTATTCTTTAATTTTAAGATTCAGATCTACTTAACTAGGGCTACTATACGTCCCGGTTTTCCGGGACATCTCCTGGTTTTAGACGGTTTGTCCCGGTGTCCCGGTCAAGCCTTAAAATGTCCCGGTTTTCCCTCAAACTTTTTGGTTTTTTATTAAATTTTATTATTAAAATTTGCTACTACTTTGTAAAAAGCTTAGAGCTTTTTGTTTGAGTGGATTATCGTGCCGATCTCTAATTAGCAGGGCCTTATGTATTTTTTAGGGTTACGATTTTTTCTAAAATTGTAAGTCTGTGATGGCATACGATAGGCCTTGCTTCAAAAAAATCGGAAAAGCTGATTTTTTTTTTTTGTATATAAAAAAGCTCCGCAAGGAGGCACAGCTGTATTTAATTTTTTTACTAAGTTAATACACTCGCCCTTGTGGCGCTAAATGTTACCCATTCAATGGTCGAATCTTGGGAAATATTTCTAAGTTGGCATATTTTGGGTTGCATAATTTTGAAATCTCTATTTTTTGTCACAGCTTGCAGATTATATTAAACACTTTATAGGGATACATAGTCAAGAAAAAATATTTTTACAAAATTTTAACACATATTTTAACAAAATATATTTTTCATCAAAAACAGGAATTTTTCCGAAAAATGTTCAAAATCATCAAAACTTTATAAAACTGTAACTTACTGTGACAAATGGCAATTGAAAAAAGTTAAGAGCATATCGAGGGCTAATATTCAATACCCTCTATCTGCACTTTTCACGAAAATGATGTTCTGATATAAAAATCCACTTAAGACTTAGCTGTCATCGGTGATATTAATGCTGACCTTGTATAACGCTTGACAGACGAATTTACTATTTAACTGCAAAGTAAGAATTAACATTTGTGATAACAGGTAAGTCCCAGTCCAGGGTTCTAACATCGCAAAGTAGTTTTTGTGAAAATTACAGATAGAGGATATTGAATAGAAGCCCTCGATATTCAAAATAAGCGGGCTGAAGACACCCCAAGTATATTATTAGCTCTTCCCATGCTTTGGCGAACTACATATTTTTAATTTCGCTCTTTTTTCTAACGTACCTATCCGCGTGAGTTTTTTTATGTGTTTACAATATTATCGAAAATAAAAAAAGGCCAGTGTTTTACTATTGCTAGAGAGGATGTCAAAATTTCATTCCACATACATAATAAAGAGGCAAAAAATGGAACGTTAGAGTGTTTAGGACGCTTTGCAAAAAATTCTCCCGGTTTTGCGTCACACAAATCTGGTAGTCCTATATGTTTTTAACGTATCATCAAAGTACAAGAAAAAAAATTGCGGGTTAGGCCACTTCTGCTCTCATGGCCTCGAATTATCTAAAATAAACACGATTTTTTAGCAACTTAAAACTTACACTTTATTATAAGTAAATTTAAACTATAAAACTGCATACTCAAAAAATTCTAAAAATCTGATAAAAAAGTGGAAAATCTTGCTGCAAGTTTGCAGAATTTTTATAATTTTTGCACAAAGTTTGAAATATGAATTTATTTGGTTTTTGTTAGATATGAGCTCAACTTTTATAAAAAAAAAAATAATCAATATTAAATAAACAAAAGAAAAAAAGCCAAAATTGGCCAAAATAAGGCGTTTCTATAATTTTGGTTTTGGGTGCACATACATACATATGCATTTACGTACATTTGTATGTATGAAAGTAAAAGGTTTAAAAGGGCATGTAAAATGTGCGCAATTGAGTTCAAGGAGTAAACTAGAGCGCAATAAGGCCAAATGAATAGGACAAACCACTAGAAAATATAAGTACATTTATTTAAAAAATATTTCACTTGTCAACGGCTGCGACACCTTCTTGGAAATGCCCAGGCTTGAATGAAAACTGACAAAATGGGTCGCATTTGTACCGTCGAATATTCTATTATCCTTTGCTATTTTCGTCTGTGCCATAAGTGGGTGTATGTATATAGTATTTGCATAAAAATGCGTACCTCAATTGACACCATCTGTTACAGGCGAACAATTTGTCTTTATTAGTTTTCCGAGCAGAAGCCATACTTATGTCAATGACTCTAAACCGTGCACACAGAAGGTCTGATATGTATGTATATATGTAAGTAGGTACACTTACTCTTTTAATTATCTACCAAATCATATTTATTATAGAAAAGTCTTTCGTGTATTTTATATTTACACTTTTCCAAAAAAAAAGGGACCGTGTTCCACAAGCAATACCGGCAAAGCGAAAAATTTTGCATGTATACATATGTATGTGTATTGACTACTAAATACTTTCGTGTACAACATTTAGCGATCAGCCTATAAGCCTAACTCAGTCGCACAATAATTCAAGCTCTGCTTTTACTAAGTATACACATTTTTTTTTTACTTGTTAACCACTATCTACATAATATTAATTTCATTGGCAGTTAAGCATCGCATTTGAGTTACTCACTCGCCCAGTCAGTCTAGATAGTGTCGTTTTTGCGGCCAGTTAACTAAGTACCAATTCGTATTGAGTGTAGAATTGCGGCATCGGCATCGGCACTGGTGACGTAGCGTTTGTGGTACGCATTGCTGGCCGTCATTGCTACTGCGATTCAGTTGTCAACCCACAATAACAACAACAACGCTTACATTAATCAATTCAACAGTGGCAAAACGAAAGAAAAAAAACAGTGATAATCAAATAGTAGTAATACAAAAGTCATAAAAAAGTAGATTTCAACTACAAATGATCTCTTCACTGAGCAGAGAATATAGGTGAGTAGTGGTGGAGTCTAAGGCGAGTGTAGAAGTGACGTTGGAGCAGTGACTGATTTCAGCGCGTGTCTGTGCCTATAACCAGATTCCAACAACAACAAAAAAAAGCACGCCCTATTGCGGGCAACAGCTAAAAGATAATAACAAAATAAAAGCAACAACTGTGAAAGCAGCAGCAACAACAATAATCAAAGTCAACTGAAACAGTGAATCACAGCTCAAAATGAATTCCGAGCACGGGTAATTTTGTGTTTTGTTATTGCGCTTTTAGATATAACATTCTCTCCTTTAACAACAATTTCTACATTTATTAATATGTTTTTGATTGTTCTGTTATCCTTATTTGAATGCGACATTTTAGCAAGTTATTGACATTTTTTTTTTTTGTATATTTAATGCTTATTTTATTATAAAAGTATTACCTAACAAAAACCATATAAATCCAAATTAGAGACTTTGCACAAAAATCATGAAAATTCAGTAAAGTTTCACCAAGCGGTCAAACTTTTTAATCTGAATCTTTACAGAAAATTAGTATGGAGTTTTGCAGGCCATAAAATTTTATTATAATAAAGTGCAAGTTTGAATTAGCTATGATTACCCTTGAGTTTGGCAATTTTTTGTATGTAAATTATACATACATACTTTGTATATATAGAAGTGTACATTTTTATTCTTTTATGCATAGGTATGTATGTATGTATGTACAGTGGTGGAAGAAATAATAGAAACTTTTTTATTTTGACCAGTTTTGGCTATATATCTTTTGTTAATTCGATGTTTAATATTTTTTATAAAGGTCTAGCGCATTATATAACAAGCCCAAAGTTTGTACAAAAATTATAAAAATTCAACAAATTTTACCGAAATGCCTCAAAAATTTCAAACTTTTTATTCAGAATTCAAAAAAAGTATTATATGCAGTTTTATAGCTGAAAATCGCGTTGATTTTTAATATTTTTTTTACAGGCGCTGCCAAGGTACATTGAACAGGTAGTATCAGTAGAGCAGCTGATTTGATTTATTTTCAAATTATTTGGTCTCGAAAATGTCAAATATTTTTAATTTTTTCTCACAAAAATTCTGAATTGTTAAAATCCATTTGCATGTGAAACCTTTTTCCATACAAAACAAGCGATTGAATAGCAGCTTTTGGCACGTTCGCCCAACTCAGCAGCACAACCGCTGATTACTGGCCCTTGTAAAGGATGGATCAATGCTTCGAGAAGCAAACAAATTTACTAGGAAAGAAAGTTGCATCAATTTTTATTTTTTCCAATTTCAATTTTTTATTTTTTATAATTTTTTGTATTTCACATGGCACGCTTTGATTTAGAAGAAAAAATTCAGAACAGTTTTTGACACTTTCGATACCAGAAGCAACAACAAAATACACGCAAATGTTGTTTTTGCTCTACTGATACTACCTGTTTAATGTGCCTTGGGCGCTGCTAGACATTTTTTTTCCATATAAAGAGAAATTTTGAGCATACTTAGCATACTTTACATGGAAGAAAATGCACAACACCGTCAGCTGAAAAAATTAATAGAAATCAACGCGATTTGCGTCTTAAAATTTGCGCTTTAACCTATTAAAATTTAATGGGCTATAAAACTGCATACATATCTATTTTTTATTTAATAACAAGTTTGAAATTTTTGTGCGATTTTGGTAAAATTTGTTGAATTTTTATAATATAGCCAAAGCTGGTCAAAATAAAAAAATTCCTATTATTTCTGCCACCACTATATACTATTTTTTTTCGAGACAACCTCTTGAAATATGAAGTTATTATAAAATCTTTGAACTACAAGTTTTTTAAGCCAATCTGAAGGAAAGGTAACGCCCTTGGTTCTTTAAAGATAATACGTTACTTTCTGCATAGATACATACATATGTAGGTGTGTTATTTTTTTGTAAAAAATAGGAGATTGAATTCATTAAATTTTGCTTGATTTTGATTACAAAATAAGTATTTATTCGACGAAACGGATCATTAATAAATTTATGGAAGCAAAGTAATCTAATGTATTAATTTGTATCTTACTGTTGGAAGAATCCCGATTTTTCGAACTTGAATACTTCAGTCGCAATTTCTAAATCTATTATGATTGATTTCGCGTACGCAAAAAACTTGCAAAGTAGGGGCAACTGAGAAAGAAAGTGACATTTCATTTTGAGGGAAAGTCGCCAGTTTCTGTGGGAAAAATTTTTGCAAGAACCAATTTGCCATAAAACAAAAACAGCTGATCAAAAACAGCACGCCAGTCGCTCCTCTCCCAATTGAAAATGCCAAGTAAAGCCAAGTCCTTCTCCACTTGGTATTTCCATCGCCGTGAGGCCTCCCTCTTCCTCTGCTAACACCAGCGAGTTCCGAGTTGAACACTTTCAGAACTGGAGCGTCGGTGTCCCGTAAATCTTGGATTTCATGTTGCCATTATTATCGGTGTTAGTGCTGGATCCCAAGTAAACGAAATTCTCTACTTTCTAGAATTTATACGTAACTGTCAACAGTGACGTGGGTGCCACGACTTCGTCTTGTCCTCGTTTACCACCAGACCTATTCGCTTTGCTTCGTTATCAAACTTAGAAAAAGCAGAACAGACTTCGCGGTTTTCGTTACCGATGATGTCGATGTCATTGGCACACGCCAGCAATTCCACGCCCTTGCAGTAAATTGTTATCATTCTGAGGCTTTATGTCTCTTTTTGATATCATAAAATTACATTTGATAGTTTGGAAGTCAAAAATTATAAAATAGGATTAAGTAATTACATAACATTGTAAGAAGTAAGTAACTATTCGTTTAGAAAATAAATTGTATCAGGATAACACTTTGTGACCAGTTTCTTAGAACGTAAACCAAAATTCTATCAGCTGCCCGTCTAACTATTCTGCATATTTTTTTGTCTTTTGAGAGAAAAGATGACATTTCTCCAGAACTTGCGTGCCTAGTAACAGCATATTCGGACAACAAAATTAACGGATACTAACCGGATATGGGTAAATCCTGGCGTTGCGGAAATTACTTTGTTTCATTCAAATTCTGAAATAGAGTGTTCTTGAAAAATTTGCTGAGATATGGTGTTTTCGAACCAGCTGCCCAGATAGGTCGATCGTCCATTTAGCCGTCGATATGTTCGTTGCGGACGCTTCTCTGCGTTTTAAATGTATTTTTGTGCTGTTTGATACCCATATTGTAATATTTAATTTATTTTATCAATTTAATTGAATACAATGTTGCAAACACATGGCAACCCTCTTCAAAAATATTTTCGGCAGTAAACGTTCCTAAATCTCTTCAGTTTGATACCCATATTGCAATATTCAATTTATCTTATCAATTAAATTGAATTGAAATTTTCAAAAAGGTGGAAACCTTTAACAAAAGCATTTTCGGCTGTAAGCCTTCTTAAAACTCTTCCTTTTGACAGCCATATTGCGATATTTATTTTATCTTATCAATTTACTTAAACTGCAGTTTTCAAACAGGTGGCAATTCTCTAATTTTTTTATTTCTATATTTTAAGGTAGACCTCTAGCAAATATATCAGAGCAAACGGCATTCAATTCCATGTATTCGTTTTCGAGTGATGGGCGTACAAACATACAGACAGACAAAGATTCTAAAAATTGTTGATTTGGCTTCTGTTGCTTAATAAAGACCCCCCATATTAATTTTTCTTTAAATCAATAATGTACAGACATCGGTCTGTTACAATTTTATTAACCGACTTCAAAAATAGGAGAAGGTTATCAGTTCGATAGATTTATTTTATGTATGTTGCGGCATAACTTTGGACCACGTCCCCCGATTTCGATAATTTGTTAATCGGATTGGTGGTAACTCAAGGGTGGTCCCATACTAATTTTGTTTAGATCCGATAACTGGATAATTGATGGGTTTTGTTTTTTGCTTTAAAATTATTTGTTACATATACATATGTACAGATGCGTGCAAAGTTGCAAAGCTTGCACAAATTGCAAAAAAATTAATCAAACTTAAAAAAACCGTCATCAAAATTTCAAAATTTTTAATTAGAATATATAGAAAATGTTGGGGTATGCAGTTTTGTAGCCCATTCAATTTTAGTATAATATAGTGAAAGTTTCAAGTCGCTAAAAATTACCGTTATTTTTTTAGAATTTTTTTTTGTCGAGGGTGTTGCGGATTTTTTTCCATGTAAAAAAAAATTGTGATCAAGTGTTATATGGAAGAAAATTTTCTAAATAGTCTAATTAAAAATTTTGAAATTTTGATCACAATTTTTTGAAGTTTGATCAATTTTTTTGCAATTTGTGCAAGCTTTGCAACTTTTGTTATTGTGGTTTCTGATATAGATTGAATTATATTTTAAATGAAAATTATTAAAAATAAATAAATAAACATAATTTGCAAGCAATATCGTTTTGAATTTCGTTGCTAATTAGTTGCACGCATCTGTATGTATCTATAGCTTTAGTGCAAATCGCATTTTTAAAATAAGTGTGAAAAGAAATATGAAATTAATTGGGTGGTTCACAAGGCGTCGTACGTGTCATATTGTCGTATGTTGTAAAGTGTTTAACGGCTAAATAAATGTTTAGAGGACTTGAAATCACCACCAAACAATTTTTTATCGGTGTGAAATTTCATAATAAAAGTTTTATGTTAGCTTGCGACTCCTTAAATATAGTTTTGCCCGTTTAAAGTTTATGACATACAACAGTACGACAGTATACAACACCTTGTGAACTCCCTAAATATAGATTGCACTATGCCATTCTTGAAATAAAAATTTGAAAATGTGAATTAAGTACATTCCTTTTTTTGGTTTTTGGTTGACTCTTAATCTTAATCTTAATAAAAAGTTTTAAATCAAATATTATTAATCTAAATAAAATTTATTGAATTTTTCTAATTTTTCTACAAAGCCGACTTCAATTCTCAAATAAAAATTTAAGATTGTCGTTAATTTCTTCAGGATCCAATGATCGGATTTAAACCAAATTAGTATGGGACCACCTTTCCTTTAAAAAAAGAATTATAGAAATCGGTGAACGTGGTCCAACGTTATGCGGTAACATACATAAAAAAAAAAAATCGACAAATTGATAACCTTCTCTTTGTAGTTTAAAAAGTGCTGGTTCGGGCCTTTGTGAATTGAGGTAACGATAAGTATCTACCCAAGTATAATCAAATCAGTTAGATGCTTATAAACAATGATATTTGATGTACCCGTCCAATTTTTTTGATGAA